GGCAACACAGTCGTTCCCAGGCCCCTTACACTGATTTTGAATAACTAGTTGCATTTCTCTATGTGTATGTCATTTTCGAATTATTATCATGCAAGTAAACTTTTGGCATGCATAGGTATCATACACATACTTCTGATATTATTTTATTTTTATCAGTACCTTGAATAAAGCTGTTTTATAAAATTGGCGCAAGGCGCCTGGGAACGACATTGTTACCTTGGCAACAAAATTAGAAGTGTTTTTCCATGCGTCTCATCATTTACAATCAGTATCCAAAATTTCATTTGATTTGGGCCCATAATAACTGAGCTTTGCTTCAGTGTAGTATTCAATAAACATACTTACCCAGCTAATGACGTCACACGTTGTGCTGAATCAGCAATTTATATTTTGCACATTTTTGCGTATAACTTCGGAACTAGATGAGATAGAATAGAGCATTAAACGGCCAATCGGCTTATTTTTTCATGCTCTTTCAGACGAAGCAATAAGATAGATGAAGCAATTTTCATTGCCCATACCCTTTAATTAATGCAATGTCTGTTAATTTACTAGGGAAAAATAAAAGAAAGCATTTGAGAGATTTCACTTAAATACATACCATGATGTATACATACCAAGAAGTAGTGAATCTAGTGTCAAATTTATCATGATGTGATTTGTATTTTCTAATGTCAAACATATATTAGTTACAAATATACAGTCACATAGTGACACATACAGTATTTTGTAACATTCATGCTTTGACTTATCTTTCAGTAGGCTTTTGTCGGATTATTTTACCGTAGGTTTGATAACAGAGAGGTATACTTCTACATATTTCTTGAGCATCAAGTTTCGGCGAAGTCAATGGCAAGTTGGAATTTGGAAATTTCACAGTGCTTATTTAACAAGACGCCTGCTCAGGCGATCACACTGGCCTGAAAAAAAAGAGATACGTGCTATGATGCAAAAGGCAGGAATACAAATCTTAAACCGCAAGCAAATTTTATGGACTTTTTAAAAAAATATAAATTTAAATAAATATTCGGGAGACGTAATGGAGATCGATGCACGTGCAAATCATGCCGACCTACAGAATCGATTTCCGGTTTTTCCTAACAGCGCGTTGTTTTCATGTGCGTTCCGTGGGCCGAGCTAAAAAATATAAATATTCTGTAAATACCGAAATAAAAGATGAGAATCTCACGACACAAGCTTGAAAATAACACTATAAATAGTGTATTCGATTCTGGTTCCAATAACATTATCACGAAAAAGATATGTCCAAAGGGGCCGAAGTTATGTTCGGCAAAATGTATGGCTAGTTTACATTGTTTGTTGTATTATGAAATATGATACGATACTTTAGTCTAGGACCTGTATATGAGTTTTTATGCATTTCATTTAGGACAGATAATCTCAACTGTTTTAGGGTAAGTTGACCATGACGGTCAACACGGTAACGCTGCCCGAACCCCAATCCGGGGCGAAACGTCCGAAACTGACCACACCCAAAAACGACGCTTTCGCCATACTGCTATCTACCAAACCATAAAAGCTTTGGCTATTCTGAGGTGCTTATATGGTTCAGAGATGGTACTTTTCGGGGTGGTCATTGGTAAGTGTGAAATGCCTAGCACTAATATTTCACAAGGAAATGGCCATGCAATAATCATAGTTAAACGTCAATTTGTGGCTTGCAAATTCAGATAAACAGCAGTGGACTTATATTACCTTTTTCCCTAAATTCTTTTGATAGAAACATAAATGGTACTTATTTAAATATATTATCACTGGTTTGGTGTAAAATAGTTAATATTTTCTGACCGAAATAATAATTCGAAATGTGCTTACCTCCTGCAAATGGACGTATTTGGCCAAGTTCTTCACTTTACTCCGCTGTTTATCGGCGATCTCGTCGACATCCTACAAAAAATGTAAATCATCTCAGACATAATGGTATCAAGAACATTTTAAACAAGTTTCAACTTGGTTTCAAGTAGATCATACCTGTTTAACCATCAACAAGGTAAATCCACAACTTTGTCCAAATTCGGCGCCATTTTGTCATCCCATGTCGCTTGTTAACAATTCAGCCTTATTACTCTTCCATCCAAGCCATTTCCATTCCACTAATAATAAATTTAACCCTTTATAACAGGAGGAAACTAAAAAATCTAAACAAAATATAAGAAATACGCCATTTTATCACCATGTAAAATTTTGCTCACGAGTCTTTCAAAACATTCCGTACAAATATCGCGTGACAAAGTAACAGGGACGTGACAGGAGGGGGTGAATTATTTCACGAAGATAGAAGGCTGCGTGAAATAGACTAAAAGCTAAATACAATCATACAAATGTTTGTTTTATTTCTTGTAGCGACAAATATATACATATTATTATTTATTAATATGAAAAAGTCATACAAATTAAATGTTGATTGTTGGTTTTACCATACTGTGTGGGCTTTCCTTTCATTTTTCAAGTCTCTACCCCCCCTGTCACGTCCCTGTTGCTAAACCACGCGAGATTTGTACGGAATGTTTTGAAGGACTCGTAAACAACATTTTACAGGGTGATAAAATGGCGTATTTCTTGTATTTTGTTTAGATTTTTTAGGTTCTCCTGTTATAAAGGGTTAAATTTATTATTAGTGGAATGGAAATGGCTTGGATGGAAGAGTAACAAGGCTGAATTGTTAACAAGCGACATGGGATGACAAAATGGCGCCGAATTTGGACAAAGTTGTGGATTTACCTTGTCGATGGTTAAACAGGTATGATCTACTTGAAACCAAGTTGAAACTTGTTTAAAATGTTCTTGATACCATTATGTCTGAGATGATTTACATTTTTGTAGGATGTCGACGAGATCGCCGATAAACAGCGGAGTAAAGTGGAGAACTTGGCCAAATACGTCCATTTGCAGGAGGTAAGCACATTTCGAATTATTATTTCGGTCAGAAAATATTAACTATTTTACACCAAACCAGTGATAATATATTTAAATAAGTACCATTTATGTTTTTATCAAAAGGATTTAGGGAAAAAGGTAATATAAGTCCACTGCTGTTTATCTGAATTTGCAAGCCACAAATTGACGTTTAACTATGATTATTGCATGGCCATTTTCTTGTGAAATCTTAGTGCTAGGCATTTCACACTTACCAATGACCACCCCCAAAAGTACCATCTCTGAATCATATAAGCACCTCAGAATAGCCAAAGCTTTTATGGTTTGGTAGATAGCAGTATGGCGAAGGCGTCGTTTTTGGGTGTGGTCAGTTTCGGACGTTTCGCCCCGGATTGGGGTTCGGGCAGCGTTACCATGTTGACCGTCATGGTCAACTTACCCTAAAACAGTTGAGATTATCTGTCCTAAATGAAATGCATACAAACCCATATACAGGTCCTAGACTACTTGTATTAAAATTCGCGTCGAACTAATGTTATTGTGAATGAGTAGACTTGCCACAAATGCGTTTCTTCGAGGTCGACTTGTGGCAAGTCTAGCAAATGAGAACCATACAAATGATACAATAATGGTTCTAGTTCTTGTTGGTATTTTAAACGCACGCTTTATCTTTCAGTATAGCTACCACAAAGCTTTTCGCGCGGATTATATTTCGTGGAGTACTAAATATTATATTTTGTGGTTTTCGAGTCATTACACAAAGAAAAACACATTAATTCAACACGCAAGAAAGTCCAGAGTACGACACAACGTAAAATACATAGGAAACTGGCACAATTCTTTGAAAATTCAACGAAACTGTGTAAAATATAGTTTGATCACTCTGTGAAAAGCCGCCATTGCAGTTCGGAATTGTGCGCGTGCGTACAAGTGTATAGGCTAATAAACGAAAAATGTACCACAAGCATGGCAAAAGTCGGCTATTACCTACATATATACGAGCTTATTACTATGCTATCTAAATCATGGAACCGAGGGAATCGATGGCATTTTGCCTTAATCGTTGCACCTTGAACCTGCGATGAGCTAACGCAAACTCGATTTCTCGACTACGAAAAAAACCAGAAAAAGGGGGATTTAAGACACTTGGCCTTACAGGCCAGTGTAATAACAGCCGGAGTAGCATTGTTTACATGCAAGGTTTGTTTCGTTTGTAGTTTGCGATATTTCAGAAATCGTTTAGGATAGACTTCAGCAGTTTTAAATAACAGCAACATTGGTTGGTGTAGAGATATATTTTCTTGTAATGTTTACGACGATATCGGTAATATCAACAACAAAATTACCGATATGGATATCAATGCATCACTATTTTGCAGACCGGCGATCTTCGAATTCTTTGTATAGTATATACATGAAGACCATATATAAGTCAAATGTCATATTATTTTATTAATTAAATGGTTAGCTATACTCCGCAGTTCCATATATAGCTTTGAAAACATATGATGCCATTGCCGGTTATAAAAAATTGACTATAATATCGAGTGGATAGTGCTACTCAGCTTTCGTACACGTGGCCTTGAGCCATATTCTTATTGAAGAATTGCAGTAACTAATTTATCTGTCTATAAGATTATAACGTCCAAATATTTGAGCTATATCGGGCGTGAAGTTGAACTGTTTCATCCACACTTGGTTATAATATTTATAAACCGATCTGCCGATATCAAAAACCCGGCCTTAATTAACGCGCTCTAAGCTATGCATATTTGGGCATAGTTTGGGAAAGCCTCAGAAGAAAAAAAATACGCATTCCAAAGGGAGAATGGTAAATATATGGAAATATTTTGCTTGGAATTCACGACTTTTTATTCGGGACCCACGCCTTTTTACCCACGACCCACGCCTTTTTACCCACGACCCACGACTTTTTACCCACGACCCACGACAATCTACCCACGACCCACGACATTCTACCCACGACCCACGACCCACGACTGTTAGCTAGTCCCATTAAAACAATGCTCAAGACAAGAGTTTTTATTGTCAAATGTCAAACTTTTAAGCAAATAAATGATACTAGCTACAGCAATGAGTACCTGCAATAGAAAGTCCAAACATTGCCATCCTTCGTTCAATTGTCCGTTGGCTAACTCCGATCACCTTGCTTATATCGGCTACTTTAAATCCCTTTTCTACAAGAAATGATAATTGGTCTTCCTTGATATCGAAACTTGGTCGGCCTCTCCTTCCACAGTTTACTACTGGCACTGTTTCGCTACATTCTGTGTTCCCGTTGTTTGCTTGGTCAAGATTAAACAAAATATTTGATGCTTGTTGTACACGTTCAACAACTGAATCATCGACATCCAAATTCACGAGCAACCGTTGGAGATAGTCTAGTTTTAATAAAAGTCTTTGGAAATCGATCGAAGTATCTCCTGACTGCATAAATCTATCAAGGATATTAATCACGCTATGAACTGCGTCCAATAGATATTGTTTGTCATCATCGTCCATTTTGCTCGACTGTACTATAGTATCAGTATATTTTAATTATACCATAGATTACATGAAGAATTTTAGGAAATAGAACATCGGTAGCAAGCGCCCGATATATGGTCACAAAACGAGCCCGCAACCCATGATATATTAGTGGATTGCGGTTGGAAAAAAAAGTTGTGTTGAAAAAAAAAGTTGTGTTGCAAATAAAAAGTTGTGTTGAAAATAAAAAGTTGTGTTGAAAATAAAAAGTTGTGTTGAAAAAAAGTTGTGTTGAAAAAAAATGTTGTGTTGCAAAAAAAAAGTTGTGTTGCAAATAAAAAGTTGTGTTGAAAATAAAAAGTTGTGTTGAAAATAAGAAATCATACAGTGAAAATGATGTTGCAAACTAAAAGTTGTGTTGATTATTACATGTTGTGTACAAAAAGTTGTGTTGCAAACAAAAAGTTGTGATGAAAATAAAAAGTTGATTTTTGGCGGGGATGGGACACCATAGATTTTCATATAGGCCTATCATGTTCTGAACCAAAGATACTTGATAGATATTATATACGAACCTCCAAAGTATAAACAAGGGGCCGGTTGATGCAGTAATTATCAAATAACAGTTAAACTTTTATATACCCGTTGAATATGTATAGTTGTAAACAAATAAAAACTATCGTTCTATAAGGTTCAATACTTTCATTTTGGTTGTTGACTGATGACGAATCTATAGTATATAGACTTGCATGCTTTGTATTTTGAGCTTATTAAACCACCGTTTTAAGGCAGCTAAACGGGCTTGGTTTATATTAACACATAAAATAAATTCCTTGATTCTCATCACAAGACACAGTCTACACTTTGAAATGTCGAAGACAGTGAGAGATTTATTTTTTATATTTTATATTTATATAATTTATATATCAATAGTTCGTATCTCCACGAACAATGACAGAATGACTGAATTCGAATTTCTTTAAAATACAATGAAATTTCATTCAAAATTCTGTTTGTTTCAAATTGGAAGTTTAAAATGGCAATAAAAACTCTATATAAAATATAAAAAAATTAACTGTCTTGAATTATTTTGTCGCGCGGTACATTTATATTGTATAACGAAATATAAAACGTTTTCACGAGGATTTTAAAATTCAGTCGGGCGGTGATGAGAGTCAAGGAATTTATTTTATGTTGGGCAGTTGGGACTTGGGAGCAGCTTGGGAGTGGCTAATTTTGAATATTTACTTAATTAATGACATCTATAAATAGCGTTGATGCTTCAGGGGCGGTAGTTCATTTACATCCAGTTTTGCGGCAGGCGGTATTTCCTAAGTACCACCTGCCATGCAGGCTACACTGCAACATTCCCTAATCAGCCGTGATTAAGAATCCAGAAAAAATCTTTTGTCTAGTAATAGCACAGACCCCAAGATGCATTGTGAATTCAGCTCGAATTGTACTTGTTCACGCTAGTAATTTTATTAAAAAAGCAAGTCAAAACAAACAGATCGAATTAGACATCGAATAAAAATAAAATTAAAGTATGCGGGGGGAGGAGACCTGCATCACACATAGATCAGGAGCGCCATAGCCGTTTCACCGCCCGTGTTTTACACTTTACACTTTAGTGAGCGAGCTATAATTTTGTATCGACATTTTGCTGATTTTCTCATGCTATATTAATAAAAGGATAGTCCAATTTTTTGTATTCTGGCTGATCTGTGTGTATTTTCAAACATTTCGTAAAGATTTCAATGGAATCTGGTTGAGAAAAATCTGTGAAAATGTCGATTTCTTCGACACCTTTCGGTGAGTTGGTTACATTGCCTTCACGACAACGAAAGCACGCGAAAACCGGGCTTTCACGTCAGTGTTTGTTTAAACAAAACAACAGTTCAAAATATAATTTGTTTCTGTGCTGGTGTTGTGTACTCAGGTGTGAATATGATGTTTGTGATGTTACTCTGAGTGTATCGCCCGGTGTGGATATACACTCAGAGTAACATCACAACCATAACATTTCAAAAGATTGACGTTTAAAGTGCCTATGCAACGAAATTTTCACCTCATTTTTTATTGTTTTTCTAAAAAGTACTCCAGGAGTGATGAAGAATGACGTTTACAGTTTCGTCATATCTCACCTCATTCTCAAGTTATCGCACTTTCTATATTTCGAGTTGTGACGTCACAAGTATGAGTTGAGATAATCGCAATAACAAGAAAGTATGATATCTTGGTGAGCATTTAATAAAATGTAATGAAACTTGGTACACTTAGTGGGTGCAACAAAGTCAACAATTTGGCTTATTTATATGGTTGTTATGGCAACACACTCGTCCCCAGTCCCTTCTCTTCCAATTTCTATATGATTCATTTTCAACGAAATAAATAGCAATTTCTGCAATTTTCGCTTATTACTATAATACGTGTAGGTATTGTGATCAGTTTAAACCGTTATAATATGTAAACATCCTCTGCAAGAGGTCTACGGGAGGAAAGTTGTGAAAGGAAGAGAAGTGACTGGGGACTAGTGTGTTGCCATGACCTACCCAAAATATTCATATGAGTGCACCCACTAAGTGTACCAAGTTTCATTGAATTTTATTAAATACTCACCAAGATATCATACTTTCTTGTTATTGCCATTATCTCAACTCATACTTGTGACGTCACAACTCAAAATATAGAAAGTGTGATAACTTGAGAACGAGATGAGATATGACAAAACTGTAAACGTCATTCTTCATCACTCCAGCTGTACTTTTTAGAAAAACAATAAAAAATGAGGTAAAAAATTCGTTGCATGGGCACTTTAAAAACAAGACAACAAAGCCGTCGAAAAGAAGAAAGACATCCAGGCGCGTGAGTGTAACTTGATACCAATATTAATCTCACCTTTAATACCTTTATGTGACATACTATTAGATACTAGAAATACATGCATGCAGCAACTCCTCGTCTATATTTTCCAGGCATTGTTTCAACATGAAGTATTCGTAATAACGCCAGCACTGAACGCAGGCTCGCGTTGCAATGTAAACAAACAGTTTGTTTACATTTTGAACTGCTGTATTTTTTAAAATATGATGTTCTGTCTGAATATCTAACATTATTTTGGTTCCGCTATGCTTTTAAATGAATATGAAATAGAGTTTATGTTCAGAAAAATTCGAAACTTTCGAAATTTGGGCAATGTTCGCATTAGAGGTCCTCACATTGTTATGAGCAGAACCGATGCGCAGTCCACTTTAACTACAACTTCTTAGTTAAAGCGACTTCCACTTTAACTAAGAAACTTTCGCAGACAATGCATAGGAAAGACTTCAAAAACAATGTCTATATTAATACAAAGTCATACATAGACAATTGAAACAAACTTGCCCTATACTTTAGGATTTCTCATACTAATTCGATTCTTAAAAAGGTTTACGTTTAAAAATTGTAAAAAAAGTTTTACAATTTGTTATGTGAAACGATTTTCCAAGCTTTCTGACATGTATTTTTTATATGTTTTGCCTCTTCACTCCTGGCAAACAACCGTATTTTGAGATCAGTGTGATAACCACCCACCGAACCACGCAAAGTAACCCACGCCCGCGATCATTGATGAACTTTAGACTTCGCTAGACTTTAGACTTCGGAGATAAGAGATAAACTTATAAAAGTAAGCGAATCCAAAGAGTATATACTGAGAGAATGATACACAACCTCGTATCCAGGCTCTTTCCACTACTCTCCTCTCTGGTGGGAAAGACCCTGGTCCACGCTGGTGATGACGTCAGTCTCCCAGATTCAGTTGGGAGATAGGGAAGGCAAATTTGGCGTTGGAGTTGCTAACAATACAAGGTGTGTGAATAAAGCAACACAAAGGACTACCTTGAAACGTACTAGTTTTTATTAGCATGTGTTTTTCATAAAAAACATCATAACGGTTATTCTAAGGGACGAAGTTGTTAAATTAATAAGGCCTGGCTAGACGTTTGGAATACTCTTACTGTATATTAATGTTAGTAGACGATATCTTCTCGAAGCTCACTCAACGACACAGCCTCGCGAGAGGTTTAGTTTTAATCAACAAGAGAAGGCATAATCTTCAGAAAACTGCTGTTGAGTGTTGTATTCGGCAGAACATTTATTTAACCAGTATCATGATTGGAAATTACTTGACATTTGTGAGCGATTAACTACTGTATGGTCGATTTTTCAATTTTGTTAAACTGAAACTGTTCAATGAAGAATAAATAGGATAAGTTTATTTTAATAAACAGCGTATTTAGCTCGATATTCTCTTAATAACAAATCATCTATTTTGGGTATTTATAGGAGCGTATTTATTTGCAATCGATTGTTTCCCCAGTGAAATATGATCAATGTTTACATAAAATTGTATACTGTACTCTTGCTTTAGCTAGGTGAAAGCTTTGTATTCTGTTTTTGAATGTCTTTTAAAACTTTTAGCGTCATTTAAGTCTCACTCTATCATGATTACACATTATGTAAAGACAGCCGATGAGGCATGCAAGTAGGGCCCAATATCTTTCTAAGATTTCTAATACGCACAGTAAAATTCAAATAAACGGAATTTATCTGACACACACCTGGTCACCTGCTCTGGATGTTTGTTTATATTGAGGAGTCAAACGGCTTAGTCAAGTTACTGTCCCTTCTGCGCATGTCTGTGATTGTTTTTGCCTGGGGACTCCACCGGAAGTTGGCATATTCGGTTTATACTCGGTACAGTTTCATTTCTGACAATAACACGCGCGTTGTTTTTTTTCGCAAGCGAAGGAGTGAAGCTACAAGTTTCCAAAATATATTGAGCTTTTTTTATTTAAGTCTCTGTCGGGGCTTTTTGTGGGCTGTTTTCAGCGAATGTAGGTAACAACAAGTTATCGAGGCAACATGACGAGTAGGAAAGAATACCACGCTAGCAGGGATGCTTCCAAAGTGTATCAAAGTGTATCTATTTTATTGTTTTCCTCGATGGAGAGCGTGCCATTTCTGTCTGCGTTTCCCCATGATATACCTACATC